GAAAAATGACAGTGAACAAGAAAGTGGTAAGAAGCTTAAGCTTAATTGATATTTAAATGAAAGCAATGTAGTTCTACATAACAAATACTGTTCTTTCCAGTCCAGAGGTTTATTGCTTATTGTTCTTTACCCGGACAGTCTCAAAGAAGGAAGACTGTAGCCATATTCATTTGTTTCACATGTCCTTTTATGAGACTTTCAACACAGTTCTTATAGTGAAGACAGTATACAACAGATAATGACAACCTCTTCACAATCTAGCTTCCCTCTGTGCATGTGTAACAAACCATATTAAAAATATTTGGAATCAAAGTGTGTTGCTAACTTACTGCTCCATGAAGTAATGCACCGCACTAGGTTGCATCAGTTCTCTAGGCCTAATCTAGCTTTCCCCCAGTGGTTTCAGAGACCCAGGGGAGAGACACTGTATCAGTTCCATTTATGAGTAGAAAGATAAATGGTTTTGCCCTTAATAAATGTAGAGGACTAGATGAAGAGCTCAGGACAACTGCTTTTTACTCCCTTAAGCAGCAAGACCTTTTTAATCCTCCTCTTTCCCTCCTCCACTAATTTTGCATGAACTATGCTGTTAGTCACATAAGATGATGAATGCTTGAAATAGTCCAGTAAGGTTGAGCTAATGAGAATGCTGTCATTAAAACTGTGGACTATAGCTAAGAGGCAGAAACCAAACTTCTGAGGACACTTAGGCTTTAGTTTTCCCTGGTGCTGCTGATATAGCATTACATATTTGGTCTTTTTAAGCAAAAGGACTTCCTTATTCATGGAGAGACACTTTCTTCTCTGACATTGATGATACTTTTTGACTGCCTTCAGCTAGTTTCAGCTATATCCTATGTGCTACAAAGCTTGGAGTGCTCCCTGTATATCAGTTTTGTGTCAGTGTGTCCCTTCATTGCCACACTATAAAATATGAACATTTTAAAAAGCTGTTTATTGTGTGCCAATTTTATAAGTTTTACATTTCCTCAGGAAGAGAAGACTAGTTGGAGGACAAGCCTTGAAATGAAAATATTTTATGCTTTGTTGGGAAAAATTATGTGACTTCCAGAGAGATGATTTCTAACCTTCCACTTTAGTCTGCTAGGACAGATAAAAACATAATAGACTAAAATGAGTTGATCATCAGTAATTATAATCATCAATTGTATTGCCTTATATGTTTCCTTTTTTGAATTTACAGATGGCACTTATCATTGCACATTGATTGGCACAATTAAAGTAGTTAATTAAAAGTTTGGAATAATAGAAGGTAGCTTTCTCTGCTATAATAAATGCTTCCAGTTTCAAGTCCTACTAATGGCAGTTGGGCAGTATGTCCAAGCATTGACTGTATACTTTTCCTCTTACTTCAAAGTTAATCTATGTCCGAATGCCTGTTTACTTCATTTTCTGTGGAATCAAATTTTCTTCCCCTCCTCCTAAGAAATTCATTGGAATTTCATAGAGATAAAGAAATGGAATCTGTTATATACATTCATAATTTTATATGCTAAAATCCATCAACACAAAGAAGGTTTATGAGCAGCTGTATAGTGATATAGTAAGGGAAGGGGAGAAAGTGAAGGAAGGAAAAAGAAGGAGAAAGACTCAAATTAAATTTCCATTATATAAAAATGTTTTCCAGAAGGCTTTTGGATGATCATGGTCAAAGGGCTTGATACAGTTAATTATACTAAGAATATTATACAGCTTATACATTGAATTGTTACACACTGAAGTGCTACATACAAGAGTTTTGAAATACCTTTCTCTGTGTCTTCTCTGTCTTTCTCCCTTATTTGCAAATTAATTTAAAAAGTAGTATTCTACTGACTACAAACTTTGAATACCATCACAAGTGTTAACAGAGAAAAAGGGAGTGGCTCGCAGGATCCTACCATTTGCCCCCAGAAATCTTGGCTACTGATAAGTTTTGGGGAAGTGGCAGTCATTGCCATTCATTTTGTACCTACTGCTAAGCTAACCAGGATCAAACAAATGACTCCAAATACAAAGTCACATTGAAGGCACTGCTTAGTATCAGTCTATCAGAAATCAAAATGAAAGAGTATGGGAAGAATGGTCAGCCCACATTGTATCCATGTATGTGATTGTTTACAGACAAATTTGACTATTTTTTAAAGAAAATATTCTAATATTGATAAAACTAAAATGTCTCTAGACAAAACATGGAAAGTTACATTTTGTTGACATTTTTGCATAAAAATTGAGGGAGATAATATATAGTATAAAGGAGAAGAGTTAAATGTAACTAGATATAAATTATTGTGATAGATGATGCTGAAATGTAAATGACCCATATGGTGAATGATGAATGTGATAAAACTCCTAAACTAACTATATCATACTATATTTGAGGAATTAGATACTGTTAGTAATATATTTTTACACAATAAAGATATGACTGGGAGAGATGATAAACAAACAAATGGAAAAATAAATATTAGTCATTAAAAAGCTGAAAATTTGAATCCAAGATCAAATTACTTCTCTTTGAGATATGCGTTATCCAAATATACAAAATACATTGAACAAAACTATGTGTTCCCTTCTAGACATAGCTTTAATGAAGATAAAATTTTCTAGTCTAAGTCTGTGACTCTTTTTTAAAGTTGAAAATTTATTTCATTGGTCAAATTAACTCAACACATTTTCAAATAAATATTTGTATTAATAGGAATAGTCTTAGTAAAAATTCAATTTTTTTCCCATTTTTTGAGAATATAATATAATTGCATTCCTCCCTTCCTTTTCCTTCCTTCCTCCAAACACGCCACCTACCTCTTATTGTTCTCTTTCATCTTAGTTCCCTTAGTCCTGCTCTCTGGTTGTCATTTCATCTTGTGAATACTTCATTTTCCAAAATAGGAGCTGGTGAACATGTGATCATTTATGCAGTGAATATCTAACACCATGGTCAGAAATATAAGCAGATACCTTTGGTAATAGTCCATCAAGAGAATCACATAGGATGTTGCCTGAGCTTTGATGGGATGCCAGATGTCATCGATATAGGCAGGAAGGGTTTATACTACATTTTTTTCAAGAATTTTAAAATTTCTGTTGTCATAAAAAATGTTTTTTTTATATTCAGTTTCTGTTAAGAATCATTGGGATTTCAATTCAGTCCCACTTTTTTTTTAATGACAGAACATTATCGCCAAGAAAATGGAATCAGCATCATGTTTAGTTTTTAAATTATTTAGCCTCTCGAGGATTTGTTTATTCTACCTGTCTTGGCTGATACAAATTTGACTTCAAATTTCTGACTGGCTCTTCAATTCTGTCAACAACTCTTCATCTTTGTGAGTATATGATTTGTTCTAATTGTTGATAGATTGAATTGACCCTTTAATTTCCAAATATTAGTTAATAAATTAATCACCAAAAAGCATATACATATACTAATATAGTTGAGATTATTTTCAAACTCTTTCTGTAGGGCAAATATGCAATAAAATAATTATACTTTTATCTACCTCAGGCCTTAAACAACCTCACATTCAAATTATATTATCTGACTGAATTTTGTTTTAGCCAGAAATTCCTTATAAAAAAAACATAAACTCAGTAATACTTCAAAAGAGGGATAGAAACAAGGACAAACTAAACAATTCATTCTAAGTCATCACTAAGTACAAGTGAGAATTCTGTTGTTATATTATGATAATTGATAACTGTATAATCTTATGTATTTCAAAAATTCCAATGATATTAAAAACAAAAATGATCCATATTTGATCAACTAATGTTTAACTTTATTTAAAAACTAATATGTGTATCAATTACATTTCTATTGCTGTGATTGAACATCATGACCAAGTCTAGAAGGAAGGGATTATTTGGCTTATGGTCCAAGAATAGTCTATGGTTCCAAGGCAGAGGCAGCATGTGACAGGCAGACAACAGTGGGATCAGAAAAGGAGAGCCCATATCTGGAACCATAGATAAGAAGCCAAAATAACCCACCAGGAATGGCAAAATTCCTCTGAAACTTAAAACAGTACCCCAAGTAAACTATGCCCTCCAATGAGACCACGTCTCCTAACCCTAATCACAACCAGCTATCAACTGGAGACCAAAAATTCAATTGCCCAAAACTTATGGGTGGCATCTCATTCAAAGCACAACAATATGTATGTTTTTCATGTATTCATGAATAAATTAATAATAATTTTAATTGATAAAATTCATGTTAATGACAGAACATGATAACATACAAACAAAACTAAAAATATTAAAAGAAAGTCAATATATATATATATATATATATATGTATATATATACATATGTATATATATATCAAATGCAATGTATTTGATTTGTGTTGTATTCAGTCTAACACATCCAAAATTCCACAAATTATCTAATATTCAAAATACAAAGGTAATTCACATAAAAGGTAATCCCTGGTATAATGTCACAGTCAGTAAAGATATTTGTTACTAAGCCTTAGGACTTCAATTAGATACCCCACATTGTAGAAGAATCTATACCTGCAAGTTTCCCTCTGACATTCACATACACTCCCTGTTTTGTTACACCTGAGTTATTGCCACCTAAACACACACACACACACACACACACACACACAAAGGCACTAAACAAATTTAATAATTCAAAAATAAAATTAGCATATACCATGAGAAAAAACAAACTTTCTTGTCTCATTAAAAATTTGACACTGATAGAATTTTAAAAACGTTTTCTCAAAGACAAATGGATTAATCATACAACTTCAGAATAAAGTTGTTGGAGAACCCTGCTATTAAGGTTGTAGTTCACCATGTTCAGATAACTCCTGGCATTCAGTGCAAAATGAGGACTATCTTTTCTCAGTGGAGCTTCCTTTTCTCTGCCTGTCCTTGTTTGGAGAGTGTCTCTGAGCACATATGCCTGACCTTGTTTAGAGGAAAACCCTGCACAGAGCTTCCTGTAAGGGCTGCTTGATTCAGCACACAAGTCCTGCTCTAACTTTCTGCTCCTGTGATAATTAGGTACTGTGTTATGACCAATCAGCCCTATACCGCTAAGTGCCCTCATGGACCCAAAATAGAGCTGTCTCACTGAAGCCGTCTTCAGAAGTCCTTAAAGCATACTGATGGCTGTCCAAACTGTTTGTTCCTTCTTCTTCCTTTGTTATCATGATCCTGTGAACAACAATCCCCAAGGAGATGGGAGATCCACCACATAAAGGCCCACTGAATGACAAGATATAAAGTAGGTAAGGGTAAAATGAATTTTACTGCTTAACAAGATAGTTGTTGTACATGGATATTTTAGCAGTGAATCATATACCATACATCACTGGAGAGTATTTTTCCATAATCTCTGATTAGATTTTTTTTAACTAAGTTATTTTGTTAGTCTATGTGATATCTCATGTCTTTTGTGGTTTATGTGTACTAAAACTTAGGATGCTATTGTCCCTATTACTAAGTATGAAGTGGTTGATGATTGTGATAATAATATTGGTAATACTTCCACCCACACTAAATAGGATAATCTATTCAGAATATGCTTTACATTCAAATGAAATGTGTGGTTTTTTAAAACTCAAATTCTCTGAATTTGTTAAGATGTGTACTAGCAGCTAATTTATTCAGAGTGAGATAAAAATAGATCCTAGTCAGCAGCATAGATTGATTATTTTTTTTTTGCAAGAAACAAAAATTGTCACGAACAAACGCATTGATAGCTAAACCAGCACCTGTAGAGCTGTTTGTTGTCCATTGCCTTCAGTCTCCTGGTCAGAATAGATAGACTTGTTGAATTTAAAGTAATACAGCTAATGAGACAAAAAAAACTTATTATGGAGGCAATAATTTACCTTTATTTTATATTTTTAATGAAGAAAAAATTTTCACAGTAAATGTGTTGGCTTTTATAGAAAGACCAAATAGTATATCTTTAACGTAAGTGCTACATTTCAAAACTGAATTTAAACAGTCAGTATCACAAACCACTTGCTGGTAAAAATATCCTTACTGGGTAGAAGAGTAAATAGGAAAAATATTATAAGCAATTTAAAGTTTCATTTATTTATTTTAATTTTTCTTTCATTTATTTGAGATTATAATATATTTAAATCACTACTCTCCCCTCCCTTCTCTCCCTCCAAATGCTTCCATACACCAGTTCCTGTTCTCTTTAAATTCATCACTTACCTCTTTTCTCCACTAATTGTTGATCTATCTATCTCTATCTCTATCTCTATCTCTATCTCTATCTCTATCTCTATCTC